TGCTTTGGAACAACCACTGCTGTTTTTCACCCACCCATCGTGTTGCATTCAGGCTCAGGCCATGAAGCATTCAAGGTGTCGGACTGAAGGTGTGGGTATGTGTGGTTAGAAAGGAGAAAGTCTGAACAAGAACTGGCAATCGGGCTGATTACCCAATAGCTCTGGGCTTTACTTCCTGCTACGGTAACCTCAATGTTTACTAATAAATCTAGACTAGTGCAGTGTAAGGCTCCATACCAATCTGAGGACTTTATTATATTTTCCGAGATGTACTGTATTTGTCCTTGTTAATGGCTTCATTTTTTTATTATAGCATTCGTTTGTTCTATGAAAACAGAAGGCGTAGATGTCAATAAACATCTTCTTTTGTTTTTTTAAAAAATACTTCCCCTTGCTTGCTTAACTTCCTCCTTTACGTTGACTAACAATGTTGACTCACTTAGAGTGTACAGAAGAAACACAGATGCAACTTGTCATAGGTTTGACCCGGGGCCAACCTAGACCTTGGTGTGGAGTTTTGAGTCTAGGTCCGTTTCCTCCAGATGCCCCGGTCCCCGCTACAAAAACCTAAAAATATTTTGGTGAGCTGGATCGGTCGATGGCACTGATATGAGAGCCTGGTTTTGACGTTTCTTTATTGGTTCTTTCAAACTAAAGTTATGTATTTGGGTGTGTTCAGAGTAAAGTGTCAATTATAGTATCTGAACTTTAAAAGGTTATAACTCAAAATCAAAATGTGCTATCATGGATTGGAAAATTGGAAAAAAGATGGGATTAATCAGAATGAAAGATTGACAAATACATCTGATTTCACATGTCAACTCTGACGCCAGTTACATAGAAAATTAAAGGTCATCAGAGTGAGAAAGCGGTAGGTGAACTCCCACAGATTTACATGGGTAACACAACATAAGTAAATCACTTCAATTCAAATTTAAATGGTTTCCGTCAATTAAAAAAAATGAAAAAAAACTTGACAAAAAAACCTTTAAATAAATGATCATGATGAATTTACTATATGTTTCTACTATGTGTAAAAAAAAGAATCTCCTTATCAAATGTGGATCTGTAAATACAGTATGTAACAAACTTTGGCGTAGCTTATTCCATCAAAGGATCAGGTCCGTTTCAAAGATAAACAGAGCCGCTGTAGGAAACATGAGTTATCTTCTAGCAACTATGGACATAATATATCTTCTGTTTTCAAATCTAATGTTTGGCCTTCTGTCACACTTTTGTACCCTTTAGTGTGAACAAGTCCATTTATGAGAGAAATATAATGGTCTTTTATTGCAGCGGCTCAACTTTTATACAGATACGCAAGACACCCCCCAAACCCCAATTGATGATTGTCAATTAGGCCAATGGCACATTTTAATACATAGCTTAGTTGTTGTGGGGTGTTCAGGAGAAAAGAAGGTCTTCATCAGACTTGACCTGGGGCCGACAACCTGGATTTAAAAACTGGATTCGGGCTGAATTGACTGGATTCTGGAATTTAAAATGGGTTATGATACCTTATTGAGTCACATCAAAGCTGTATTTGATTTGGAATGTGGTGACACAATCATAAAACAAATGTCAGTAAATAACAATAGAGTCAACAACTGGATTCCAGAGGCTCTAAGATTTACAACAAGGTATAGATCTATACCTTGTTGTAAATCTTACATCTAGATGACTGTATTGGTGGCGCTAAAGTTGGTTGGATGACACTGTCAAAGTGCCTCAATGGCGACTTTGTGTTAGCAGCCGAGGGCCATATAAAATGACACAGAGGGCCTGAGTTTGGACATACCTGATCTAGATAGTCCCTCAAACTGACCCGGATCCAGGCATGCACATTGAGCATATGGGGAATTCTTCAATACTACAGCAAGTCTGGGAGTGTCTGCTTAGACTGCTGCCACCACAACCCAGCAACGGATAAAGCAGGAGAATGAATGAAGGTATTGTCGTAGAAGGATGTGTTTATTCAAAGCCGGATCCACCAGCAATGACAACCAGAGAATCTTTGCTTGTCAGTGTCTCAAATGTCACTGCGACACATTTTCAAACAATGTCATAAGCTTATCACTGATGTAATCTCATGACAAATTTTGGAGTAAATTATAATTTTCCATTTTGCGCACGTCTATTAACCAATCTAGAGTAAACATATGTATTTGACTTTTGACTAGACTTATTCAGGGAGTGCATGGCCTTGTATCAGGCAATATGATCTAGTAGTATGACATGTTGGAGAAATGAGGATAGATGTTTGAAATGTTGAATGGAAATGACAATTGGAGGATTATTGTGATATATTGCCCTAATACATATATTTTGTACATATGTTTCAGTTGTGTGAAATCGGCGTGGAGAAAAATGTCATGTGTTCTTCCTCGTCTGAATCAAGGGCTATCGTGCAGATTGGGTTCTTTATGTATACATGTCATGGGATTAGCTGTTTATGAGGCGGCATCATGAGACACTGTTTGTCCCCAAGGCTCTGCCATAGTTTTATTTCAGAACAAAATACTCAACTCTACATCAGGGACTTTATTGTCCTTTCTTCTTAGATTTCCACTGTGCCATTTATGAAAAGATGTAAAATAACATCTTTCTGTGTTGATTTTACCACTGATTGTTTATAGTCAGTTCTTATAACCATAGACGGAGCGGTGAGCAATGAAGAAATGGAAAGTAAAATCAGCATACCAGAGGGGGCTGCCAAAATATTTGACTTTGCTTTTGACCAAAGACACGGCTTACTTTGACCGTGGCATTCAAACTTGCCAGTTGACAGCATTAATTCATTAATTAAAACAGAAAATTACTATTAATGGCTCTGAAGAGGATGACAAAGTCTGGGATCGCGTCTTTCATTCAGACAGAAGACATGTTTTATTGTCGATGGTAGAGACAGCACGAACAAAACACACCAACAACACGAACAACAGAATGCAAGTGTATTATACAGAGCGGAGGCATGGAGACCTCCAATCAGCAGCTTCCGCAGTGCCATGTAGCTTGGCCTTCAGATAGACAAAACAAGGGAAAAGTACTGGCTTCTGCACATTGATAGAATGATGAGTTTAACTTTAACAAAAGTTGCTTCAAAGTGTTATGAAATCTCACAGCTCCTTGAGTCTTTTTAAAATATATGCTCTCAATAAATTATGTCAAGTCTATGACCAAATGACTTTTCTCAAAGTCATTTGGTCTAAGCATCACTTAAAGTCCAATTCTTAAAATGTCCTGCACTACGTATAGATTATATTGTTATTACCAGTATTTTAAATATAAAAAAGGATTCAGAGTTTGGTTGATATCTTTTTTTTGCCCATCTCCTACCAGCACTCACCTTGTTCAATGCTCTCCCAGTTAGCGTCAGTGGACAGCCGTGTGTTGGTAGGTTTTCAGTTGTGCAATATATTCTCTCTATTCTTGCACAATGCTCTGTGTAACTTTCAAAGCTTGTAAAATCTATGTGTAGTAAATTGCCAAGGTGAGGCGCAAAGCTGGCAACTGTGTTCAATGCAAAAGTTCTATAGCTCCTTAAGTTATGGATTCTTTAGGCGGTTTTGTTGAGGCTGGTGTTGCCCCAGACCACAATAGGATGGCTGAACGGGCTCAGGTGTTCGGGGGTTCCAGGTCAATATGCCGCGGCTGTTGGTTGGTGTCATGTACGGTTGTGGTAGTGTGCTGTCATAGCCGCTCCAAACAATAAAGCCTCTGTATTGTTAATTGTGTTGCAATCTGAAAAGACTCAAGACAAAGGATGCATTAGTGTTATATGTATTGAGTTAGCCTTGCTATAAAGTTACTGCATGATTCAGCAACTCAACCCGGCAGGCGTATGTGGTACAACATGATTCCAGTCCAGTCTGAATTTTCTCTTAAGTTACATTTGTCTTTTCTTTTGGTTTTGTGAATTAATCTGCTGCTGCAATACTGTATGGCTCTGGCTGTGGTTCTTTTTAACCTGTTGTGTTTCAGTCAGAGACTCCCAAAATAAGAATGACATAAATTTTGTATTGTGCCCTGCTAAATGCAATTAAAATAGTTTATCACTGACATAATACAGACATTTAATTAACATTCTCTTTGACCCAATGTAGATAGATAGAAAGATGGATACTACTAAATACTTTATTGTTCCCCGTAGCAGAAGTTCAGACCACAACTAACAAGAACCCCTCTGACCTCAGCCTCGCTATACAGTACGTGCTCACCACATCCGATTGGACGCGGTGTCATTTTCAGGGGCGCCACAACGACTTTCAGAAACACACTTATCACCACAAATAAATAGTGTTGACGAGGAAATTAATATACAAAGAATATGTATCCGGCATACTCAGTTAATAACAGTTATTAATAACAGTGTATTTTGTTGTCTTTTGAAAGAAATACATGTAGTAATTCAACCATGCCTGTTAGGATATTAAAAAGAATGAATGAAAACGTCACCTTTATCTATAGAACAATCACAAGCAAGTTATTTTTCCACTATAATAGTATTCAAGTTAACATGAAACTAGTCTTCAGAATACAGCACGCTGATTGGCTTATGTTCAGAACGTGATATAAAATGGCATTTTAATGTATATTTTGTGACTAAAGAGATTGCCAAAGTCTCATGCAAAAAAATGAGTTGATGAACAAATGATCTAATCTTGTTTGACGCATTGTTTTTTTAGTTTTAAATTCAGATTCACGCAGTCTTCCTGAAAATGTGAGACAGACTTCTTCTCTGACAATGTTAAAATCCAGGTTAAAAACTGTTATTTTTAGGTATGCACACAGCAGAGGGATTTTATCTTCACTCTTTTTAATATACAGAAATGATTGATTATTGTAATGTCTCTATCTTGTTTTGTCCAGCACTTTGAGTTGCCTCGTGCATGAATTGTGCTATACAAATAAACTTGCCTTGCCTAAACCAGTACATAATTCTGCTGTATGTCCTTTTTGACTTCAGGCCTTGTTTGACTGACTGTGTCTCTCTCCCACAGTGAACTCACGCAGTTGCAGTTTCGCAGGCGTCTTTCTGATCGAGGGAGAGAGCCGTCACTCACTCAGCTATGAGACGGCGAGGGAGGTCTGTGAGCATCTGGGAGCTGTCATGGCCAGTGCAGAGCAAGTGCAGGAGGCCTACAGTAAAAACATGGAGACGTGCAGGTAACAGCCTTTCACACAGAGACAGACGGGCCACTCTCATTAGGACGTGTCTACTTCTACCTCCCAGGAACAAAAAAAAGTCTCACAGAACAAAATTAAGGCTAGGTCACCCAGAATGTATTTGTATTTTTTCTGTATACCAATATGTAATATTTATTTTGAGTGTGGTGACCGAAGGAGAAATAAACTAAACTGAAATAAACTGAATTCTGAAACTGCTAGAACACAATGAAATTCTGAAAATATCCCCAAAAACAGTTTTTTGTTTTTTTACTACTTTTTATTAAAGGTTTATTGGAGGATTTTCCCAAATTATAGGAAAGAACCGCCCTTTCAACTCTCTGGTCTTATGACGAGCACGTGTCACCAGAATGATTGACAATTCGGAGGACCAATTGTCTTGATGATCCACCCGGAAATAGAAAATCCTCCTATGTACCTTTAAGAGATTCATACATTTGTGTTAACTATACTACATGTTAAAACTGGTGAATACAAATGAAATATAGAAAAACGAAATACTTCAAGTAAACAGTGTGTTGCTATGGTAACTAGCCAGTCTGAGCCAGTCTAGGGCCAGTCTAGGACCAGTCTAGGAACAGTCTAGGATCGAGAAAATGTCTTATACATAATTGCATAGAAATAAACTACAGAAACAAAGTAGCAAAGTTAGGAAGACTTCTAGTGTAACATGTGTCTGTGTCTGTATTTTTGTTCAGAAATGGTTGGATGAGTAACGAGACAGTGGCCATTCTCAGGCACACGTCTCATGAAAACTGTGCCAAGAACCAGACAGGATTAATTGTCAACCCACATGTTACCACGGACAAGTTGTTTGATGCTTACTGCTACAACCAAACAGGTAACATTTGCACTGCATGTGGTGTGTAACGTTTAAATGTGTCCTCTGCCTCATTATTTACATTTTGTTTGACTGTGCAGCTGTTCCAGATATTGACTGCTCACAGGCCTTTGCAGGACCGGAGAGCCCCAGTGAACCAGGTCAGTGAACGTGACTTATACATACAAGGTTGTGTTATTAAAGTTACACTATAGAAAAGCTTGTGAGGTCTGAGATGTCCGCAGCTTGACTTGGCAACAAACCATCCATCTATTTTTTTCCACAAGCGACATTCTGAGCAGGGATACCCATAATTCCCTATCCACACACTCCGCTCAGTGTGCTCCCAGTTCTATTTCAGGATTGTTCGTTAATGAGACCTTGCATTCAGGGGGAGCAGTGCTGTAAACTATACCCTATACCCTCTACCTGGTGGCAATCAGCAGTTCCCTGATTCCCTTAAGGCTACTGTGGTTGTGATTTTGGGCAATACAACACTACATCGATTTGATTTGTCATGAGTAGGTAATAAACACACATTCTGTACTGCTGAGCCTGAGTGCTGGGTAAAAGAGGAAAAAGAGATGCCAATTTTTGCCAAATGTGACATGTAGGTGCATTTCTCCTATGTGAGATAAATAAATCACATCTTATCTTATCTTATCTAGTTTTACCAATCACATCACATCTTATCTTATCTTATCTAGTTTTACCAACCTGTACTGCACCATGACTCCCAGGGTCACTGGTTAGAGTTAGGGTTAAAAGTCCAGACTCAACTTTGTGATATCTGATTGTATCCAATCGTCTTCTGGATTTCCGGCAGTAAGCCATAAGTATCTTTATTGTGGCCTCCCCCAGAGCTGTCCTTTGTCAACACCACGGGAACAGCCAGGCAGGTCTGGTTTCGGGACCATATCTCTGCTGTTTGCAGATCATGTTCATTAACTCCAGACAGTTTGCAATGACAGGAGAGCGGTGCTTTGCTCTACCCATGTGGCGCTCTGCTTTCCCCAATCAACATAAAACATACACCATAATTACATCCTCCAAATAACTCCAATAACTTGAGAATTATGTCAAATATATTGTGGAATAATTGTTTGGTGAAGTTTTCATGATTATTCTTCCCCTAATTATATAACAACACATTTAAACTCAGTGCATCGTTCTGAGATTTGAGAAAATTAAAATAATGAATGTAATTTTTTAGTGTTATTCTGTTCCAAATACAGGAGAATTGGTGACAGTTTCGGACCCAGAAATTGTGACATCAATGGAAAGTGACGTAGAGAGCACAACCATAACCCAACTGGACACTGTCACAGAAAGTGAAGATGCAACCATTGTTCCCGCTGACGATGACAAGGACTTCCACACATCCGTGACTGTCCATCCAGAAGAATCTACAGAGGTGGTTCTGATGGAGAACGTCACCCTCACAGCGGAGACAGGCTCAGGAATGATGTCCACTGTAGCAGAGGAGGAGGGAGAGCCCTTCACCACGGCCCACGTGGACGAGACCGGGGAGCAGCTGGACCCTCACGATGACAGCGAGTCGCAAGCAGAGGCCAAAGGGGATACCACTGAGAGTAAGACTGCTTTAATCTGAATCCAACAACCACAACAACATATGGACAACAAGATAATTAGCTTAGATTTAAAGGCTAGACATACAGTATAAACAAAGCACCCTATCTAAAACATGAATAAGTTCCATGGACATCCCGGAATTATATTTAGTCATAAATTCAGATATTGACCAGGAACTACAGTAAATTGAAACAGATTATACATTTTTGAAAGAAATCACCATCCATTAAGATTAAGATTAAGATTAAGAGATCCTTTATCCGTCCCACAGAGGGGAAATTTCAGTGTTGCATCACAAGTTGTAGAACAAGTAGGAATGAGGAGCACACAGCACAAAGTAAATGAACAATAGCTATACTAGTTAAAATAATATCTTGAACATAATAATAATTAAAAAAGAAGTATAAAAGGCAAAATAAGAGGCAAGTATAAAGAACTGTGTATTTTAGTGCAAGCAATATGTAGTTGTAATTTGTACATGTTAGCAGCAGTATGTTTACATCTGTACATGTTAGCAGTAGTATGTTTACATCTGTACATGTTAGCAGTAGTATGTTTACATCTGTACATGTTAGCAACAGTATGTTTACATCTGTACATGTTAGCAGTAGTATGTTTACATCTGTACATGTTAGCAGTAGTATGTTTACATCTGTACATGTTAGCAACAGTATGTTTACATCTGTACATGTTAGCAGCAGTACGTTTACATCTGTACATTAGCAGCAGTATGTTCACATCTGTACATGTTAGCAGCAGTATGTTTACATCTGTACATGTTAGCAGTAGTATGTTTACATCTGTACATGTTAGCAGCAGTATGTTTACATCTGTACATGTTAGCAGCAGTATGTTTACATCTGTACATGTTAGCAGCAGTATGTTTACATCTGTACATGTTAGCAGTAGTATGTTTACATCTGTACATGTTAGCAGCAGTATGTTTACATCTGTACATGTTAGCAGTAGTTTGTTTACATCTGTACAGTACATGTTAGTTGCACTGTACATAGATCTTTGAATAGTACAGTATGTATCTATTGTCAACAGACTCCATTTACTTGATTTTACAGCCATAATGTCTTTCTGTTGATGGTAATTGACAGGGGAATATTAAAAAAGATACAAATTCTCATAAAGTAAAATCTTGAGAACAAATTGGACCACAACATGATATTCATCTTGTGAGAAAACATGTTATCTTTTCCATATTTGCAATGCTTGATGCTGAGAGACGATTGGCTGCGTGACAGTGGCCCTTTCTCGTTTACTTTTCTGTCTGAAAAATCTGATGTGACAGAGGCCAAAAATGCATGCATGTGAAAACTAGTGATAAAAGCAAGAATCTAGTTTAGATTATTACAATGTCCGTGATTTGAATTTTTTTTTAAATCCCAGCTTTAAACTTGAATAATTTTTACATTTTGCGTCAGAACTTTGTGCCAGTTATTGTTGATTAATAAAACATCTTTCAAATACAGTTCATGTTTGTTATGCAACAGATTACAAAGTAGGAGAGTCATCAAATGCTTTCTCTGACTTGTTTTGATACTGTTGTTGAATGTACACACAGCTCGTGAGTTTTCTTGGCCACAACTAAAAGCGGTGCAGAATTTAAACATGTTCCACACCGACCGAGAAGCAACAGGTTTTGGGAGGACAGAAGACGCCCTCTTGTGTCGGGCTGGGTGGCGCACATTACAGACTGTTTTTATTTGCTCCACCAGAACGCCAAAGGAATCTATATATTTTACAGTAAAAATATGAACATAAATACAGACTGTTATGTTATTTGTAAAAGAATCCAATCAGTTATTCTACTTCAAACTTGTGAAATAATTTTGACGTATCGAATTGTGTATTGCAGTTCGACAATGTCCTTTAATGTAGGTGCAATTGTAAATACAACTTGCCACTTGTGAAAGCTAGATACCGTCAGAGCTCTGAAGCTAAGTGGGACAGGGCCTGGTTAGTACTGTGATGGAAGACCTCTAGGAACACCAGGTGCTGTAAAGTGAGAAACTGTTGTTGTGTCGTTTGGCTTCCCCCACATACAGTAGCGCTTGTGCCTCACAGCAAGAAGGTCCTGGGTTCGATTCTACCTCCAGGCCTTTCTGTGTGGATTTTGCATGTTCTCCCCGTGTAGGTTTCCTCCAAGGGCTCCGGTTTCCCCTACCACTAAAGAAAAAATTACAATTGATCTGGTATACACCTCCGTTGTGGTGATCCTGCTTCCATCCCTGTGTGGAGTAAGAGACAAATGCCCACAACAATGTTGTGGGCATTTGTGAAAGGCGCATTATAAATACAAATTACTCCGTGTCAAGCGTCTTAAAGCATCCAAAAAAGCGCTATGTAAGAATAACAAATTATTGATTTGGTAGTGAGGCAGGTAAATGTCACTTTAAATCAAAATGGCACAGTGTTTAAATATCACACACACACATCAATAAATATAAACAGTAAAACACCTTTTATTTCTTGCTGTAAAAGTAACAATCTAACATATTTCTTTATTTCCAGTTGTTCCAGTCGGTAAAGGCCGCATGAACTCAGTGCAGGAGGGTGGACACAAACACGACTCACAGGAGAGTGGAGGTGCATCTAGTAAGTACTGAGAAGACTTGGTGTAATGGAAACGCTAAAAAAACACCTTCCTTCCAGCAGCTGCATTCATCTTCTGCTTCCTTCCCCGCAGACTGGCTGGTCATCGTCGGCGTTTTGGTGGCAGTGGCGGCCATTCTTCTTGTGTGCGCAGCAGTGGCTAAAAGGAACACGTAAGTAGGACAAACAGTGCTGTCATGTTCCTTTGTGATGTACCGTAAATACTTGTCCGGGGGCAGCCATTGTGTTTTTTCATGTCCCTCCAGAGGCCACAACAAATAAATCTAAGGGCCGAGATGACAAAATTGGTTGGTTGACATTTCATTGTTAGAAAGAGAAAAAAAGCGGCCTTCTCTGACATTTTGAAAGGATGAATTTCTTATGTGATTATGAGATGGTGTGTTTCTCTCAGGCTAATGATGCCTGCGGAATTAAAGTCTAAAAGATGAGGCACGTCCCTGAAAGCACGGACAAAAGCAGCCATCTACAGTATTATATTCTTGTTTTTTTACCATTAGAAGGGAAATTGCGTAATCGCTTTTGAGGGTTTTATGCTGAAGTCTGTGGTGGCGGCCTCCAGTTGTAATAATCAATGTCTCTTTTTATAAAAATACACACATTGGTAGCGGTCGCACACACTTTTAATTCAATTGTATAGAAAATAATAATATATTTTGCACAATCTTTACACTTTATAACATGTTTGCACATTTCCTGTCTTTTGTACAACCCGAGTGATCCTTTTTATGCCAGATTTGATGTCAATTTCTCCATTGTGAGATCGATAAAGTTGATCTTATCTTATTTTATCTTACACTGTTTGGCCCGATTCTATCTGTCTGCCCCAAGGCAGATGTGGCTATAATACTAACTTATCTCACCTTGTATCAGGGCTGGGCGATATGCCAAAAAATCTCAAATTTATTTCCTATTGGATGATTTTGATTTTATACCGATTTTCATTAAAGTCACCGGAGACAGACTTCGCCCTTAAAAATATGTTTGGATCTTTCCGCTCAGATTCAGATTCAGAATCATTTATTTGCCATTTGCAGTAAAACCACATAGGAAAAACTGTGCAAGACTACCCCAGTGTGCACCAGACGACACACACCAGAGCTCTTGCCACGGCGCCATCTTTACGGCGCCATGCTCAAGTTTCAAAACTATTTTTAATTTGTTTCCCCCGATATGTACTATAAAAGTCTTGTACAGACTGTGCTGATATAGCAATAATTCATGTGCGGCTGGAACTCTCACAATATCCTTCATTCAATTTCACAATTGTCACATTTTTCACAAATTAGATTTTTTCAAAAGCCAATTATTTGCCTAAATTCAATTTACTGCCCAGCCTTACCTTGTATAAAGTAAACAAATAATGCCATTTGAAGCCAATAAATGCTATAAAAACAAAAAAATAGCAAAAGATTACACATTTCTGCATTACTCTGGATTTCTATTGGACTTAACCTGTACTTATTATTACTCACTTAAAAATGTCACCATTTTTTTTTTTTTTTTTTGCAAGACTGTAGCTACGCCTCTGGACACAGCCACAACGTTCAACATTAGGATCGATTTATACAAAAACATAATAAATAAAAATCTATATCTTTGCCGTTTTTGCCCTGCAGCTTGTGCGGGAAGCAGCAGACCCTCATGATCACCTCCAAAGACAGCGGCGAGGGCAACGGCACGGCCATGTCCGCCTCCAGCTCGCACGCCCAGGAGCGAGAGCAGGAGATGGTCACGCTGATGAACAAGGAGAAGATCCAGGAGAACGGCACCACGGAGGAATTCACCGTCATCACGCTAGAGGAGTCCCCGGACAAGGACCAGACCGCCTGAGACCCCAGGGGTTTTAGTGGGAGATGTGTGGTTATGGTGGGGATAGCACTGAACGAGCTGGAGTGGATAAAATGTGGTGGGTAAAACGGTCTGAAAGCCTTTTGAGGTCGATTGAATGATGATTTCAAAAATGCCAAGAATTGTAGGATTGTTTTTACTGCATAAAAAAATGACAAAAAACATGTTAGATGTGTCAAAAGCTGGGATTCCTCACTTTTGTTCCTAGAGTAAAAATAAAAGGTTGTGAACAAATCAGAACACATAAATGTATTGAAAACTGTTGTAGGGGGGGAAAAAACGAATTGACACTTTGGGATGCGAGCTGTTGAACGTACTCCTCTGAAAAAAAAAATCTAAAGATGTGACCAAGGACATAAAATTGACAAAAAACCACTCTGTTTTGAGAGCTACGAACTTGAAAGTTAGGTATCCCAGCTTTAAAATGTTATCTTGATTTCAGTGGTGTTTGAAAGACACACGATTTACCAATGGAACAAGGTTTAGTGTCATTTCAAGCAGTTTCTTCTCAATTTTCTCAGATTTCCAGTGAGAAATTGCTTAATTCATTTGCTCCATTCGTAAATTGTGTTTGCAAGACAAGTCCGATGAACTCAAATCAAGATTTGCTTTTTTTAGCAATGTTGAATGCATCTGTAGAAGGACGTGCGATGAATGTGCTGTGTGTGTTTTGTGTAATATTAGTGATAAAAAGAAATGGTCCACATTTGCAGTTGCTCTATGTAAGTTTTTAAAGGTCCACCACGTGTTTGTCTTATGTGATTTTTTTTTTTTGCCAGTGATAATTCCCAACGTGACCATTTTGTGAAACATTACCAGGCAAAAAAAATAAATAAAATTACAATTTCAGACAAAATTTACATAGTGCACTTTACAAAAAAATCTACCAACTATGGGACCAAACCGTGAGGCTAATTTTTTACGATTTGTTCATTGTCTTTTTGCCTCTTTTGTAGCTTTGTGTGCCCTGACTCGACCTGTGGATTTGACCCTACAGTATATCTTAATTTATGCAGTTTTCTTATCCCCGTTTCCCATTTTGTATATAAAGTGTAATGTAAATGAGAAAATGCCTTAGCAATAACCGCCAGCTGTGCTTTTGTCTGGTAGCGAATCCCGTTCAAACAAAGAAATGTGTCACTTTGGTAAACTTGATAAAATCGTAAAAATAGAAGTGAGGTGTGACTTTCCCAATAGTTCAAGTGAATAGCAATCATGTTTTTTTATCGAATCCAAAACTGTGCACCAGAAGCACCTTGTAAGTCCAGCTCGTGGCATGATATAGTTGTATTATTTAAATCAAAGGATACAGTAGCTATGTTTCAAAGTAGTACAATCTGTCTGTACAAAGTCAAAGAAGGCATGTTAGTTTGATTTCATTGTTGCCTAATCATATTCTCTATATGTTTGTTTTTGAGGTGATATAGGCAAATGTATGTAACTTATTCAATGCAGTGGTTTTAGCTATCTGGCTTTGGAGAGGCAGATAAAAACCACATTTTATTCACAATGAGATTTCTATAGAATTCAACAACAAATCCACAGCAATCTTGAAAAGTATGTGAAAAGTGTAAATTATTATCTATTATTATCGGACAAAACTGTGTGTAAAAAATTGTTTGCATATGATATAATCGATATTAATAATTGCCAAAAGTGCCCACAAGCATTTTATTAAATTGCATTGAAATTACACATTAAAATCACATTAAAATGATTGAAAATATGTGGTGAAAACTGATCCTGATCTTTGAATCCATATGAAGGGTGAAGTTTAGGTCACTTCTGCTTCAAAATGTGTGAGATTTAATTATTACTTTCTCGACGTGTATTGTGGCATCTGTGACTTATCTCCCTGAACTTTAATTCTACACAAAACAGCTTTTCACGGCATTAAATTGTCAAGGAACTTACATTTTCCTTCCCCCAGTAATGAATCGTCGTCTTCTTTCTGCTCCTCCAAACCAATAGCTTCTTCTGACTTCTTTTTTTTCTCTACTGTAAGTCTCTCGCACAACACTGGACGCCCCCTTTAAGATATCCCTCAAGCCGCGAGTGGTTTTGGCTTTGAATACAAGTAACCGGCCCCAATGATAATGAGGGGCCCCTGTGCTGTACATAGAGCAATGCCCAGGCCTGCTTCAAAAGAAAGACCGACCCTGTGTGTGTGCGTGTGTATATGTGTGTGTGTGTGTGTGTGCCCTCCCTGTGGACTCTTGTCTCTCTCTCAATGAAAGACACTTGTATACTGTGCCAATCACTTTCACACATGCAAAACTCCCCACTGACTTCACTATACATTGTGTCATATGAAATTACTCATAGACTTGTTTGTTAAGCTTTTGCATTTGAAGCTAAGATGAAGTAGCAGATGTTTTAGTGCGGGCAGCTTTTATAGGTCATAAATAAAGAGTTGTCACTGAAAAAAAAAGGATTTGTAAAGATTCCAGTGAAATAAATGTGTAATGGACATTGTCGGCTCATGGATCATTGGGGGACAAAGGCGGGACAGTGGTGTGAATGTTTGGTAACAGGGGGAGAGGTGAAAGGGTCTTGTGAATGGATGCACTGGGTACACACCAGCGGAAGTGGGGTTGCCATGGAGCCCGGCTGGTGATGCAAGAGTATGTCAAGCACGGAAACAAAGGCAGCCATTTTGATAGATAAAAAATGCCGCTCTTCAAAGCAGTGTCTATAGGACCAGAGTCTTTCTGCTGTGACTGAGTGATTAATTGTCAATGCTTTGTGTTTGATGTCTTATAAAATGCATTTTTTCTTTTAGGCCAAAATTATAGCATATAGCCACTGCATGTTCAAGACTTCAAATAGAATAATTGTCATGACATTCAGGGGTTTGGTTAATCATTTGCTCGATTATAAGAGGGTTTTAGGATGAAAATAACTAATCAAGCTCAATGTTTCCTCATTTCAACTCTTTGTGCTGGTTATGATCTTAATGTTCAAATCTTAGACACTCATAAGCCTTGTATGGTGGGAAGTGAATTTCGGGGACCAATGGGCAATAATGCAATAAATTTCCCTTCTACTGGGGGGTCAGTAGCCATACCTTTGGTTGGATTAAAGTACTATCAATACTCTCTCATTAAACAGCTCTCAGAGGGCCGACCATAGCACCGGGTCATGGGATTCTGCATCAGTGTGAACAGGGGACCTTGAACTAGTGAGTCAATGTTGAGATTTAATTTACTTTTTTACAGAAAAAAGAAACAAGACAAAAATGAGCAAAAAGCCGAGAGTTAGTTATGAATTGACATTTATTAGTTTTATTTGTATATATGTACACCAAAGGTACAACACATTTGATATGTAGAAACAGATTTATGTATAACATAGACAGAGGAAAGGATTCAGTTTTTATTTATTTTTTTCAGTTTTTTTTTTTCACCCAAAACGTACGCTGTACTTCAACATCGAAATGACAACTCCAGCTTTACAAAGAGGCGTAAAGGGCCACAGGGGCTGCCTTCAGCCTGGTCTGAGGAGAGACTACCTCCCACTGAAACTTCATTGAAGCGTTAGCGTTTAGCTCCAGGCTGTGTGCATATTTCTACTGCGTCAAAGGCAAGAGGTGGAAAGCAGTTTGATATAATGAGAGACGGTGTCTGACAAAGCGTCAATGGTGTGAGAGCACAATGCTGCCTGAGACTAAAGCCAGCGCTTATTGGTGAAGAGATGATCAGATGAATCACCTGAGGAAGTCTAAATTGTGAATGAAATGGCTCTTTACTAAGCCAGGGTCACCTCCTATGCACCCAAAAGCCTTAAACCTCCCTTTGTCTAACCCTTTCTCTTATTCTCCACATGTTCAGACAATAGCATCATGCAAACATGGTTTGCTTCACTCCAGTATACTCTGCAACGCCACTGAACAGAACAATTATATATTTATGTATGTACAATGAAAATGAACGCACACTGATTATATCCCCATGGAACAAACATTCAAACGCTTACATTAGATACAAAAAGTATATATTCATATATTGATGTGTGACAAGTAAGTAAAACAACTAGTTAATAGCTACCAAAGAATAAAAAAACAAGCATTTTAATACACACTTTCCTCTATACATTGCATCTAATCTATCTTTACTCAGGACTTACTGGAGATGAATCTTCTCTAGAGGATTACATTACACAGCAGTGAAACTAACATTTGTCTACAGGCCATTTCACCACCCCCTCCTCAAAAAAAAGTTACCTACAATATATACACAAAGTGCAATTAGGCACTTCAATATATCATGCTTTTAAGATAGTGGTGCAAAAAAATAACTTTTATTCATGCTTCTAAAACCATGTATTTGAACAAAATAGTGGTCAAACACTCAAACCCCATTTTTGACACTGGGACCAGCCTCCTTCATGGAGCTCTGTATCTCCAAGTATGATTTCTGTGCTCTGCAGCTGGTCATAGAAAACCTCTGGCCTGTAGATGTCCCAAAGCGTTATTAAAGGGGCTACAGAATACAGTGCTTTACTAACTGTGCATGTAAGTCGCCTACGTTACTGATGTTGATCATCTGAGTATACAGTCAGAACATGTTCAAGGCAAGGTTGTCGTTAGCGAAAATAAAAACAAGGATACCATGCATCATTCACTCACACAGGTTTTAAAAAAAAAAAACAATAACAGCAGTAGTCCAGTGTGTTTGCAGATTTGTTCAAGCCATTTGGTGATGAGGAGCATTACCTGATAGACAGTTGGCAACATTCTGGCAAAGCCTGTGCCCCAGAAAGGGAATGGGCACAAAACTGCAGCATCTAGGGTTGGCAAAACAGTCTTGAGCTATGGGCCTGCACTTCAAACGAAGGAGCTAGTGAGGTAACATCAGGACGAACACTGGTTTGCAGTATCTTGAAGCTGGTTCACTTTCTATAGAGGTAGATCCAATTCATTCTTGAGATGGAACTGACCAAACAGAAATATTAAACTATGAGATTTACAGGACAACAATCACCATGGTAATGGCCTCAAAATATGTCCTTTTTCTTTCCACATAGCTGTGATTGGTCATTTACTGCATTTCCAACAATACGTTTCGGTGACCAGCTTCAGATAACACTTTTGTTCCTTGCTTCACAGCATTAGGCCCTTGTAACAATTGGTTCCTTGTAATTATGGCTGAACACTTTTGCAATCTTTACTGTCCTACTTGTTTGTGTGCTCGTCAGTAATTGTTCAGTGTGTGCTTTTGATACAAAAGTTGGTTATTCAACCATTGGAATGTATTCAATAAGAGCTTTTATAGATTCGGCTCATGTAAACTGTCAGCATCCTCATTTTCATTTCTTGTGCTCATTTATGCATTTTGGCTCAACTGAGCCAGGAAACACAAGAGCATTACACTGTTGTGGAGTAAACATGTCTTCTGAGACTCTCCTGCTGGGAATGTGAAGACTTATCAGGAAGTATGTTGTGCACGAGGGTGAATGTGTCAGTGAGCTAAAACAAGCTCGTGTTTGTGCTAATGTTTGTATATCCATACAGGCTCCAATTTCATTGGATTTGATCATTTTCTGTACTTTAATTTGTGTGATTTAATCCTTACATTTTGAGAAAGGATTCTCCCAACACTTTGTGGCTTTTATAATTGAATACAAAGCTGGAAGCTGTTCAAAAGTCTTTGTAATAATCAATTTTCATGTTTGGTCCTTACAATAGAATTAGCCAAGCTCTTCACTAACGTAGTTAGCTTTTTCGTATAGCCACAAAAAATATGGTCCCTTTTGAAATAAAATAAAATAAAATAAAATATAATAAAACAAATCATCAAACAGATGTGGGCTCCATGTTATAGTTTGTGCTATATTTCTTAATATATTATATTTGTTTATATTGTGCTTCCTTTTATTACTATTTCATTATCAGTAGCAATCACCAGTGTAAACATCATTATTATGGCAGTAATTCATGCAATAAGGTGTCATTCTGCGCCAACTTGTCGTGATTAATCCTTTTCCTCCCACATATCATCTGCCATGAAATATGAATCATAACCTTAAGTGTATGACATGCTCTTGCCCCTCCCATCATGCACATGCCAAAGTGGAATGTATTACTAGGTCTGGCTTATCCATCTTGTCCTGATTGCATAACCTGGAAGTCTGTTGTGCAAGTATCCGCTATACATAACATATTTGTGCTCTAACAGGTAACCTCTGGTATCAGTTAGTATCATCAGTCAGAGACCGTTATAAAATATCCTTTAAAAGGGACTAATACAAATGAAAGTAAACATTGCTACATAAAAAAAAGAAATTAGTAGTAGTTCTGTTCGTGTGACTTGTTTCATTCACTCATATTTTTCACCAGTTATGAAAAGTCGTGGAGCCCGGCAGGGGTTTTCTGTGCCGCCATTATTCCTGTTTCCATGGTCCCTCCTCGACGATCGTACACTCTGCAGCAGAGCCGTTTGTAGCTGAGGTTACCTGCAAGAAGTTAGCATCCACAACTAAGCATGGCATTTCAACAAGACACTACCATGCACCCCACTAAACTCAAAGGGAAACTTAGCACTTTGCCTGTATGCTAAGCTAACAATGCTCACAATGTTTAGTGTATAAATAAGCTAACTAGAACCAGGTAGGACGATGACATTAGTCCTGGTCTCAGGTCTCTGCACTGGCTTCCTGTGGCTCAGAGAAAAGACTTTAAAGCAGTCTCCTCGCCCTAAAGTACATTCAAGACATGTGAGTGCCATATGAACCAACTCGGGCTCTGGGGAGCATAGGGACTGGCCTCCTGCTGGTGCCTGGAGTCAGGACAAAACATGAGAGGGCAGCGTTTCAATCAGATGTATGCAGCTGGAACAGTCTTCCTGCAAATATAAGACAGGCTCCTACTCTGAGATGTTCAAATCCAAGTTCAAAACATATCTCTTTAGTTGTGCATAGAACTGAAGAATTTAATCTTCACTATTTGAATGTACTGTGATTATTTATGTATTTTTCTCGTTTTGTTAGTCACTTTCAGTTCTGTGTGAAATGTGCTATACAAATAACTTTGCCTTTGGTAAACTCTAAACCCAAATGTCGTTAAACATTCGTACTAAACAACAACAAGCAAAAAACTGGCTAGAAGTTACCAGTGATAAAGCATAGAAGTTAAATACATTCTTTTTAGTTTGGCAACCTTAACAGTAATATCTAAATACATAATACAATCTGATAGACATACAACAACTGTGAATAATGAAGACGAATGCAAAAAGGCAATGCAACAAAAACATCCATACAAAAAAAAAACATACACAAAAGTTAAATATGAAAGGGTTACTACAATTAGTAAAATCCATTCAGAGTCTGCTTTGCAAGCTGAAACTTCTATTTACAAGCAAAACAGAAAAGGTCATTAGTCATGCCGGGAATGGGAGTCGCAAGCCTTTGTGTCGCATTTATATGGAAATGGATCTTCATCAATAAATGGTAGGAAGCAGAAAGGAGGATATAATTTTTTCTCTGTGTGTGTGGATGACAAGGGTGACAGGTTGGCCACCGTTGCTAAGAGACACCTTTCACCCTTTGATAAATGAAAGGCTCATCATTATGCATTTGCACCGGGAATGTGAGATGGAGCACCAGGTCTTTCAACCACTCAAGCCCCTGTAGTCCTGAATACATTCAAAGGATTGGGCTTCATAGAGTATTATGTTTTATATTACGAGTCACTGTACTTCACAGTTTTCCATTTCACAAGTGAGTTCACACACTGTGCATATTTAGCTGGTGTGGAAATGCCAGATCTCTGACAGAAAGAGTGTTTCTGCTTGAAGACGTTGTGTTGCTATTGACGCGGACTTGTCTTAAGATCTTTGAGTGGTGAAAACAACATTGTCTATATGTGTTATGTCACATTAGCGAAGAATAGAAAATGTGGTGATAAATTATTCCTCACAGACATGAAGAGTGAAGATTATTTCGCTTTGCCTTTATGCCCAAGCCATTTCCCAAAAGAATTGTCTATGTGTTTGAGCAGAAAGGATTCCAATTGACGAGCAATTCAGGATTACTACTGACACAATCTGACACAAAAACTGCCATTCCATCCAAAAAGAAGTACAAACATGCATCTATCATTGCATCAGTTTCTTTGACAGATAGAAGGACGTGTCCAAAATACCATGAAGCAAAGGTGCACAGTGGGCATGCAGCGGAAAGAAGGTGTCACATCGAAGTCTCTATGCCAGAAAGAGTTAATTGTACCTTGCATTCATCTACTACGACAGAATTGTTAGCAGCAGAAGAAGTTTGTGCAGTTGTACTAGTGGTGGCGGTTAAGACGCACTGGTTGGAATTGTTTTCGTGATGGTTCTTCATGTCATCGTAGTAGGACTGGGTCTTTGTCATCATCTCGATGTCGTCTGATTTGGCCGCATGCGCATCCAGCTCATCCAACTCTGCCTTGGACATGTGGTAGACGATGCCTGCACCGTACGAATCACCCACCACGTTCACCGAAGTCCTGAACCGATCCCTAGAAGATTGGACATTTATAGTAGTGAGTCACAGCCAAGTTCCTCCAAGAGACTTTCTTTCTCGAGTTTGTCTGTGTTTAAATAAGTGGCTGCTGCTTCTGGGGGATATAGAGCAGGAAGAAAGTGTCGTTAATGGTTGAACTTACAGCAGCCAGTCGACAGCCACAAGGAGACTGATGTCCTGAGTTGGCAGCCCCACAGCGGTCAGGATAAGCAGCATAGTCACCAGACCAGCACTGGGGATACTGGCGGCTCCCACACTGGCCAATGTAGCCGTCAGACTGTAGAGATACACGAGAACTGGGTCACATTCATTACAGCAACAACACTTAATCACACCCTCATGCTTCAGCTGAAAGTGACCACTTGACCATAAAAATAGCTGAAGCTCGCGGCCACAGACATTGATTATGGATGACACATCATGCTCAAGACCACGGATTGGACCCTTGGACTGGAAATTGGTTCAATATGTCTACAGGGAAAATATAGATCAAGTTGAAGGTTGTCCGACGTGCATGTAGTTTATTGGGATGATTTGTGTGAAAAATGTTTTAAGAATAAGAATATAGCAAAAACGATATAATCCAAGATATGAATGAAGAACATTTGGATCTACCAGTAGTTTACAAAAGCATGTATTTTTTTTAAACTACTTTTTTTAGAGTAGCCGTTTTCAGACACGCGCCGGTTCATTGACTGACTGGCTTGCATGTAAAATATTTTTTTTGCTGAAATGGTCACTTGTGCAAAGTCACATGCATGTATTTGTATGTAGTTTTTCAATTGTTTGAAAAAATCCATGCATGATTTAATAAGGAACATTGAAAAAATCATAAAAAATATTCATGGACAAACAGATAACACAGGATTGAGGAGCAACACACCACCTTTCACAAGACGGTTCAAATTTCAGCTGAATTTATATACTGTATGTTATATTCTTTGTAAAAGCATCTCTTGATTGAATATAAATAAAAATAAAAATAAAACATTGTCTTCTTTTTAAAGAAACCCAAAATAACCTATTAATAGTCTCTGCAATGTTGTTTTGATTGTTGTTTGGTTTTAGTTCATTAGTAGAATTTATAGTATCCCTTTTTACCTTTAGAATTTAAAAGCAACTTAATTATTATTTTTACACCTTGGCCAAAAAGAAAAATAGGTTTGAAACAATCACAAAAAAAGCAAATTTTCAATTATAGAACATAAACGTATATACATCCAGATTTGATTGATTTCTTTACCTGACAGTTATAATCTGACCAGGGTCCAGGTGAATTCCGTTCATCTGAGCAATAAAGATGGCCGCCACAGCTTCATACAGAGCAGTGCCGTCCATGTTTATGGTGGCGCCCACAGGCAACACAAAGCGGGTCACTCTCTTGTCGATGCCCAAGTTCTCCTCCAGGCATCGGAAAGTCACAGGTAGCGTACCAGCACTAGATTAGGGAAAAGTAATGACCATTAGTGCTTCCAGATGTGCACACACCAATTGGTAGAAGAAGTGTCTATTCCCGACCTGGAAGCTGTGCCCAAAGCAGTGATCCAGGCCTGGAAAATTCCCAAGAAAAAAGTGAATGGATTTTTCCTGACAATAACAAAGTAGATGCTCGGAAGGAAGATGGCTCCATGGATAATGAGTCCGACGATGACAGTGACCATGTACATGCCCAGCTGCTTGGCCACCACCTCCAAGTCTTTGATGGAGATGATCTTACCACAGATCAAACAGGCAATACCGAATGGAGAGTACCTGGAAATAGGATTTGTGTTGTTAACTTGGATACATCACACTTTGGCGATTCAAGAGATATGGTCTTGTTTAAATCTGCAACTTTAGTCTGAACAATTTTAGCTCTGTTTGTCGCTATTAAAGAACTTGCATTGCACAAAAACAAACCAATGTCATACTCAAAACTATACTTATCATAACTAAGCTCCTATTATCTGCAAACTTCTTAATGTATCAATTGTTTGCACATAGATTATTGCAACAATCTCTGTCTTTTTTACCATGACATCAATACTGAAATAACCTATAGTTATTTCCACTTGAATGAGGAATGGCATCAATGAGATTTAGCTTTGTGATACTAACCACATGATCATGATGACAATTTTCATCACAATCTCATTGAGGATGTTGAAGAACTCAAGCATAAGTTTGGCTCTCTCGCCCATCTTTCCCATGCAGATGCCAAATGCAATAAAGAAACCAATCAGCCCTGTGACATAAGATGAAATTAGTGAAATCCATGTGGGATGAGCAAAGCTAAGCCAAGCATGACAGGTTTTACAATTGGGGAAATTGGCAAACTCACATCTTGAACAGTTGCGTTTGCCAAAAAAAATGTTATGTGAGAGAATAGTGGGTACCTAGGACGTTCATTCCACTCTTGAACTGCAGAGACTTTTTGATGATAAACTGAGGTTCTTTGGTGACATTTGCCACCAGGCCATCCATTGTGGTGACATTGATTATTTCTGGCTCAATCTCTATCTTCGTAGTAACTGTTTGGATCTGGGAGAAGATTAGTCACAATTATGGATCACAGAAACTATTGCATGCATTTTCTCTTATAAATTAGCTTACACTGACTGACCTATGCCAGCCTGTCTAAACAATTCTGTATAGCCTTGCATTGGAAGCATTTGGGCATGATAAAATTGAAAGCAAAAAAATATATCCAAATTCTCATGTACACAAATGGCCGCGACTCAAGTTTGTATCAATCACTCACTAACCCACTAACCTGTTGGAAACAAGCTTGCACAAGATTTTCTGGGAACAAGTTTCTGATGAGATCAAAAGCAGCATCCAAACTTGACACGTCATCGTTGATAGTGCCCTCTCCCAGGTTCTCTTTGAGTTTGGGGTCACCAGGGTGGATCACCAGCACCAGAATGACTCCCAGGACAGCAGCGATTATGGTGGTGCTCATGTAGTAGACCATAGCTCTTGTGCCAAGGCGACCACTGGATTTGGCATCCAGGCCAGCCAAACCTGCAAACCAAAATAACCAATGTTGTCGTTCATAGATTTAGGCCTAAAACCACACATATTACCCTGTTTCCATATTGTATAACAGTATAATTTCAGTATGTGGCTAAATATTGAAATTTTGTTACTTGATTATAGATTATCCAAAAGAAATTCAATTATTGTTAACCACACCAAATATTCTATTCAAAATGGTCTGATATAATTGTAAAATAGATTGTTACTACTGCTAAAATATAGAGCAGTCTCTAATGTGAGACAGGCTTGTTCTCCGACAATGTTCAAATCCAGGTTAAAAACTGTTTTTAGCTCTTAGATTAATTATGATTTTAATGCTTAATATTATTCTGTTCAGCACTTTGAGATGCCTTGTGTACAAACTGTGTTATACAAATAAACTTGCCTTGCCTTGCCATGAGGAAAAACCTGAGAACATACTGTATATGTGCAAAGGTATACCTGTGATTAAACTTGAGATGATAAGAGGCAAAATCAACATCTTTAGCATCCTCATGAGAATGTCACCGGGAAACGCGATCACCATGATGATGTCCGGATGGATCGGAGAAGCAACTCGTAGCAACATCCCGAACACAGCCCCCAAAATCACACCTACGGAAGAGACATAGTAATGCTGTTAGCCCTATATAGAGTTGTCATTTGGAGAATGTTCAAAAATCACAATAATAAAGAGCTATTTACAATCAGTGCCAGAAAATTGAACTCAACTAACAAGGCGGTTCTGGAGTTGCGTTTGCTAAAAGTTGTATAATTCAACAAAGAAAATCATAACAACGAGAGTGGCTCAGTTGGTAAAGCATTGGCCTCTGAGCCTGAAGGTTGTGGGTTTGAGCCCACTACGGGACCTTCCCCATCGACTCCAGCTGATGTCTGCTGTCGTTGTTTCCTTGGGCAAGACACCTAACCCAACTTTGCCTGAAATGCTTTGTGAATTCATGTCACCCTCCCAACCCAGAAATGGATTATGGGGAAGAAGATTGATGGATGGATGGATTTTCTTAAAAGCATGTCGCTCAAAAGAATGAACATGGCATGTATAATTATTTACAAGGACCATTATGTCCTTGTAAATATATTATGGGAAAACTTGCTAAGAAGTACAGATGATGGGTGAGAAACCTTCCTTTGCTTTGACTAATCCCTGTACGACTGAGGGCTTACACAAACTTAAGGACCATTTTCTTCATCATTGTTTGCCATTTTTCCTCCACTTTAAAATCCAGCAGCTATATCTTTCCTCGAGTCTAACATAGTGGAAAATCTTGCCGTTATTTTCATGTCAATATTCTCAGTATTAAAGTCTTAGAGAAGCCGTCTGCTGCACACTGGAGGAGTACGGCGCGTCAGGGAGATAAAAGGCCTACAACCTGCTGCGACAGAGTCTGATCTTCTGAAGCACCAGGGAGGAGTGCCATATCTGACTTGTGCATCTTTTGAAACATCTTCTAATACCTTTCTGTTCTTCACTGTCACTTTCAGATGTGATCAAGGCCACACTTTGTTCTGCTCTTTACCACGTTTTGTCACATTTCTTCAAAAGTCTATGATATTTTGAAGATCGCTCCTTCGGTGGACCCAAAGGATAGAATTGCTCTCTATGTGATCTCACTCTCTTCTTGCTCGGTCCCAGTGGTCAGTCTCTATGACTTTGCCAAGGAAATGTCAAATCCTACTAAATGCTCACACCCGCTGATAGTTGAACTTCCTTTGCGTCCAATATAGCCACGGGCAGAAACCACAAACAATAGTTACATTACTAGACTGGGCCCTGATCTTTTCTCCAGTCTCCAATCATTTTGAACTAGTTTCCCAAGCCTTTTTTATTTTATTTTGCTATTTTGTCATTCAGCTATGGTTTGCCAGTGACAGATGATCAATGCTTGGGTTGGTTCTGACTGCCAATTCGGGTGAGATAAGCAGTACACATTATAGATGCAAGTCTGCGGTTATTGGACTGTTTATTGGCAGATAAGATATTCCATGGAATCTCGGATATTGCTCATATAAACGATGCCTTCTGGTGTTGTACATCCTGCTTCAATAAAGACCATCTCTCAGCAAAGCACCCACCCAAGAGCCGTACGGGTTTTTATAAACGTAACCTATGGAGTTATAGTGTATAATAAGAATATTATTATCAATGTCACAACATACAGTATGAACCTTATGGAAAATGAGGTCTAGGACTTAGGAACAATCCTCCATTCTAAATGATATATCTGGACTTTTAGTTATGCAGATTGTTCAGAACTTTAATTTCACTGTGTTCTGGAAGAAAAGACATGAAGCACTTTTGTAAATAATAAAGTGTGTGGTCGATGGATGAAACCAATGTTTTTAGTCAGACGCCTCAGGGCATCTGTCGTGATAGAACAAGCTTTCCACCTCCAGTTTAACACTGTGCTGAATAAATAATGCACCATGTTCTATAATAATTGACACGAGTACATGATTTGACTTAATGACTTAATAAATTGATGTAATGTAATCAATCAGATAAAAAAGTATGGCAATGTATACATTTTTCACATTTAGTAGTGTTGAGTACTTACCAAGCACTGTGAGTGTGAGCAAAAGGTTCTTGCCCAGCTTGGAACATATTAGACCACATTTGGACTGGGGCCGGGCCTCGATGGGCTCCAGGTGGCTCTCGTGCATCCTCACCTCCACTTGTTTAGGCATACTGTTGGAACTGGAACAGATAAACACAGACAGATTAAGGCACAGATAATACCCAAATAAGCTACGTGTCTCTAGTTATGAATCAATCACTGCCTTAAAACATGAACGAAAACAGAAAACAAATCAAGATTCAAGAACAAGATGAGCAGATGATACATGTGTCTGCATTCAAAATCACTAACAAAGTTGAACACAAAAACATGGATTTGGAAGTGGATCACGAAAAAGAACATTAAAAATCATTCGAGTGTGAGCTGTCAGACAGACTTTCACTGACTGCAACAGATGAAGGCTGACAACAAGATGGTGACGGAAACACTCCTCTGCAAGAACACGTCAATGCCAAGTTTATTTCTAAAGCACATGTAACACTTTGACAACTTTGAAGTGCTGCACGCAACAAAATTTTAACACTTGCAACATAGTATGTGCACTAAAGCAAGCGTACGTTAAATCAGCTTTGCACCTTTCTAATGAGAAGAGGAGGAGGACTGAAAAGAACATATCAACATGAAAAGTGCCATACGAGGCCAGTGACAAGTGTTTCTAGTGTGTCACAGCCGGGAGTCACATCTCTAAAATAATCACTTATGAATGACTCACACAACCCAGTATCTACGCTACATTTGATCATATTAGAATATTCCCCACTGAAGGACGAACAAAGCAGGATCAATATTGCAACAACACATCATCCGTAAAACTAACCTGTCTCTCGAGGGTCTAATCCCAGCTCACGTTCTCTATTAGTGGGTGAACAATACAACTTATTCATTCATTCAAAAGTGAATTTGATTTGGCTTTTAAGTGAACAGTTATAAAATTTGCAAGAATGCAAGTTATAAAAAAACATGAATGACAAATAAATGTGAGAAAAACATTAATTTCAACATAACATATTTTTTACCCCAAAATATGGGATGTGATTGTTCCTCAGCCACTCTACTTTCTTGCTTTTAATTCTCAGAGTGCTATTAATACTCTGAATCACAAGTCACACATAAACACACTCGGAGGGAAGCTCCGTCATGCTGTCTAATTAATTAAACGTGAAAGTGCTTCATGAAGAGCTGCAGCTCATCTGGGGGTGTGAATGAGACTGTTATCTGCCGAGGGAACCAGCTGTGCCGGCGTTACGCCACTTATTGACAACAAAACCATGCAGGTGTTCCATAAAGGAAACCATACAGCTGTTCCATAATGGAAACCATGCAGGCGTTCTATAAAGCTTCTGCAATGTATCCCTTTTTTGTGCTTTATAAAAAATGGCAATCCTTCAATCATCTGACATAGTTTGACAACTTTCTAACTGCAAAAGCCAAACAATCAAAGTCCAGTCAGACACGAAAGCAGCGGCTCTCTGTTCATCTCGTCCTTTCTGTTTGATTCATTACTGTCACTTCCACTGCTCTTGGCCATATCCAGAGTGAGAGGGCAACATCAGAATATTAGTGATGCTAACAAAACAGAGCTAACTGGTAACCATCAGACCGGAAGCCAAACACACTGCTACACCTAATACCATGGTACACCATACTGGTCCAAACAAGGAAGCAAGGAAACAAACTTGTATTCAGCCAAACAGTGTAACTATTACTATACTTGAAATATAAGTTGGTTTTAAGCCACAGAATGTGTCACTCATAGAAAGATTGACTTTCGGTAGCTGTTCACCGTAGAGTTAAATTTACATTGGCATCCTGCATAAAAGCTCATTTCCTTCATGAGCTGCTGTGGGTCTTGTGACGTCATAAACTGTCCCATTTAGCTATTCATCTGCAAGAGAAAAGCAGTGCGGACACAAGCAGAGCTAAAGAGACACTCAAAATATGACATCACCCATAAAGTTCACGTCCAGGAAGATTTTTGTCCTTTATTCAACACTTCCCCTAGTGTCTATGACAAAGCCAAATAAGTCAAAAAAAAAATCAGACCAATCTCAGCAACGACTTTATAAAATCTTGTTTTGAGTTTTTTGAGTAGACACAAATAGATCTACATGAGCGACCTCAAACACGCTCCCCCCCCTCTGGTGTAGCTATAGGAGGAAGACCACCTGGTCAGCTTCCAGGCGCACAGATGGAGGCGAGCATTCTCCTTTTCATTTCAAAGTGATGTGTTAAAAAGAGACCATTACATAGCATTGGGATCATGTGCTAAATATAAGCTAGACACCACATCTTTCGTTCACTTTACCATGTACCCCCGTGCCCTATAGCAGCGATGGTGGTGTTAATTAATTTCTAGCTCATGTTTCATTATTTTTAGAGCAGGAGGAAGTCGGCGCAGACAGGTTGAATATTGTGCCGTCATTATCGTCTCATAAGAACGTCTCGTGCCGGGAAGAGATGAATGAGGAGAGGATGTATATAGAAAGAGAAGAGTGAATAGAATATAGAATACATTAATACATTCAGTATTGTTGAGGGGAAAAAAGGCAAATCTAGTGAGAAAAAGTAATTTCGTACTGCTTTAAGAAGACCTCACACTACATAATCCCATAATAATCTCTAATAGGATTACTTATGATTAACTCGTTTATGAGCTTTAGAATAAACCATGGCGATATAAAGAGAAAGAGAGAGAGGAAATACATTGAAATTGAAAATAAAAATAACCATCAGCATCAAAAATCTGTTAAAATAGGATTTAGTTGTTCTATTTTGTGTGAACCAGAATTTATTTTAAAAGTATTGAAATGCAATCCAATTTGAAAAGGTCCAATTCAGTAAAAAAGTGATGTATGGAAGAATAGTGATTTTTTTTTATTTGTATACCTTTGCAGTGGAGCTGTGAGAAATTTGCACTAAACTACATTTTAAAACATATACATATTACTTAGTTTTTAACATAATTTACATCTGCATTGTACTTACTTCATGTCTGGGGGAGAAGAGCTCAGTGCAACATACATGAACCACTCTCCGCACCACTCTTTGGTATTTAGGATCAATCGACTGAAGACAATTACTCCATTCAAAACATTGGTAAAAAAATAAAAATAAATGCCAGATGTCAGCAGATACAATCCAAGTGCATAAATCCTAAATCCAGAGAATGCCAGTCATCCAAGTCTTCCCAAGCATTCGCCGCGGTGCAAGCCACATCAGTCCATCAAGTCACAACCTGAATTGCCCTGGTCCTGGATCCTTCCCTCCCCTGCTTCCTCTGCCCCCACCCCTTGACCACCAGACGACCAGCAATCCTTCAAATAAATACATAAATTCACAAGAGGGAGGGGATGGGCTGTACGACATTATTGTCAAATCCGAGCCCCATTCCGATGCTATGTAATCCTACAGGCCTGGTCCCATAATACTGTTAATGGAAGATTTGTAGGACTGACGGCAAATGTATCGCTAACTGGAGCCTTGGTACGGTTCATGTTATGTCACTGACCACAAGGGAATTAATGTGAGGTAGATAGGAGCTAAATAAAGACACTAATATAAGACTTACTATTCTGATTTAAGAAATTGACGGCAATATATTAAAGGAAAAATAATATTTGCTTCTTTATACAGCAAAAATAGTATCACTCAAAGTAAGCATATTTTTCTTATAATAAAAAAAAATGCAACAAGAAGGGTTGGACTTGAAACATGTTGGGATATTCTGGGTTTGGTTATTTTTCAAGCAAAAAAGGTCAAAAATAGTTTCAAAAACATAAATTGACAAGTTTAACGCCCAAAAGATATATATAGATAGATAGATATGTTGAATTTACATCTACATCATGGACATTTTAAAAAGCATCATCTAATAATTGTGTATGCCACTGTATTGTAGAGAACTATAAGCATCATAAATGACACATGCAGATAAGGTTACATGTTGCATAATAATAAATCCTCAATAATGCTCTGTGCTGCCTATAGGTATGTACCAAATCCAAATGGCCTGTGATTCATGTGACGATGCTGTCATGCCGATTTCGCCCTGAAGTCTCCCAGCAGCATGAGACTCCACATCTCATTCAGCTACATCACATTATTCCAATTAGGCAAATGTGTTGGAAAGCTATTTCCTCCTGCACACAAATGACCAACAACAACAAAAGCCAGAGGAATGCTCAGTGGTGTCATGAGAAATCACTCATGCTAAATCCCTGACACGTCACTCAAAAGGGGCTTTTTTTTACTAGAGGAGTTAGATTTGGGAAAGAAGGGGTTATACAGCAGGGGGATGAGAGGAGAAGGGGTACCGGGGTCAGAGAGGACCCCCTCAGCCAAAAGAGGACCCAGAGAGGGAAGAGCTACTAAGGCTGCTGTCCCTCCTCTTGGCTGGCTCCATGTGAAGTTCTCTGCTTCCTCTCGCTTCTTCAGAGCCGCTTTGTTCCACACGCAAACAGTGGCAGTGGCCCCAGTTCAGCCAGCCAAGCGCCACATCCAAACTGGCATGGGTGAAAGGCCTAGGGGAGGGTGAACAGGGCCCGGACTGTGGGTACAGGGGCCTATAGTGAGCAGGGACGAGGAGAGCAGGAGAGGCAGTGTCCAGAATGCCAGTCCTTTCAGACCACTGATGTCATGCCTGTGCCCACCGTGGGAGAGCGGTGGGCCCCCAAAAGACCCCTCCCGCCTCTGCCACAGAACCCTTTTTCCAGGATGAATGAATCTTTTACATGCGGCAGCCCTTTGTGCCCCATAATCGACAGCGATTATCCCAATTTTATGCCGCTTTCCCAGTGCGAGGAGGTTCCCGGAGCGGCGGTATTAAGAGCGGCCGCGATGCAGCACGGAGCTCCAGAGGTTGTCTTAGCAACAGTTAGCCTTTTAGTGAAGAAGAAGGGTTTGAAGAGGAAGCTCAGCATCACTAAACCCTCTTTAAAAAGATGTTCAAGAAGCACATGCACAGACACCATTATGTGCTTCATTTACACTATGAAGCTTTTAGATCAATTACAATCACATACTATCTAAAAAGGCATTACAATTTAATCATAATTGCTCACTTAAGTAATGCTGTTTGGATGTGTACATGTGCGAGCTAACATCATCAAGCTACACTGAA